TACTACTGAAACTGAAAATTTTCTCTACATAAGAGGAACTGGAATAAAAAGGAAGAGATGGTTTCACCTTTTATTTAGACTTTTTCCGATTGTAGGCCACTACACCTAAAATCGCAGAATGACATCAACCCTAGAAAGCCCCAAAAAACCGTAGACCTTTCGAAGCAGTGCGTTAGATATTGTTGGTAAGAAGGTCATGGGTGCATGCAACCTGGGGTGTCCCCAGTCTGGATATTTGTATGTGTGGCGAATCAAACCTGTCAAAGTTCTTGTAGTCGATGAGAGGTTTTGTGATTGTTCTTGGCGTATTCTTCGTCATCTTTCTCGCGATAGGAGGAATAGCACCCGGCACTCTGGAACGATAATGATCATTTTGATTTCTAGTCCCCTCCGACTGCGTTAAGGCCATAAAAAAAGAGACTGTTTGAAGGAGGAATCTGACTGGAAATACGGTACCGAATATCGATCAGGTCGTCGTTCGGCTCCATGAGATATGGCAAAGTATTCACTTGACTGTTTCGGAATGTAGACAGGGAACTGACGATAATGTTCATGCTGAACAGATGATTTTCCACTCCGAAGAAGTCACTTCAAGCTGAGAGGTAATGGCTTTACCTCTGGTGATCTCAGGCCTAATTCTGAGTAGAGTTCTTCCAGTGGGGTCTTCAGAAACGAATGGTTGTCTTCAAAATTGTCCAAAGAATCGTCGATGGCGTAACGTCCCAAGGATCGCTCCATGTGCAACATACTCGAGGCAGATAAACCGTGATCGGCAGCCATTTGTGCCTTATCCTGAACAAATATGTTCCAAAAACGAAATGGAAAACTAGTCGATTTTTAATTCAACAAACCTTTTTTAGCCGATTCATCGGATGAAATATGTTCTTGACATAATTCTCATAGCTGTGAGTTACCGGTCCGCCATAGACAGTGGGCTCTTTGAGCGACGCCGACTGCGATCTGCTTAGCGGCACGCGATCCCTCCATCCGAGGTACTCGGACATGTCCAAGGAGCTGCAACTTCTAGTGCTCTTAATGAAGTAGATGCGAGGAGTACGAGCGAAACGGTAATGAAAAAGCTAATCGTAGGTGTTCCGCCGTTGATCGGAGCCGAACGCTTCGCAAATGTAGCAACTGCTCCGTGTTATTGCGTCAATAGACACCCGGAAATCCCTGAGATGTGGTAGGCGTGGCTGCGCACTTCATTCAAACGTGGCGCTGACTGTGCTTTCGAAGAGATATTTCCATTGGGACACAACTGGGTCGAGCTCTGTCGAACGCAGAACAAGTTACTCAAACTGGAATGTCCCACGAGTATCCCATTCTGTGTCATGTTCAAATGCCACGCCCACTCCATCTCATGGATAAGTAGAGTAACTTCAAAGTTATCACTCCACTTCATAACTCAAAAATATTCAAGCAAACCACGACGTGAAAGAAGCAACTGTTTGGCAGAATTCATGAACAGAATTATGGGCGCAGTTCGGCTTGGAGGGGGACATTTGCACTTTCGCTAATTTATTTTTCTATTGCCTGCCGAGTTACGTCTTGGTGACTTGAGCTGCACTTGACAAGATCTCACATGACAAGGGTGAACGAAGCTCCTGTTCCTCAAGTTCCATAGAATTTCACAAGTCTCCACGGAATGCATCGACAGTGATCCTTAGGAACCAGCTAAATGCCCCCACTAAGCCGAACTGCGCTGGATGTGAAACCGTTTGTTCGAATGTAATGTAGTGGTTGTGGGCGGAGTTGATGAATATGAAAGTGGCGCTGCATAGGACGCGCACGGTAGTCTGGGATGAATCCTGCACCTTCATATCCGCCCAGGTCAGCCTAAACTTCGTTTCCTCCAAGGATATTAATACATATGGATTGGTCCAGCAAGATAGAAACACTGGCTTTCCGTATGCTTTTTCCATATTACAGTTCAAATGGCATTTATAGATTGAACTGCGCTCTGCCTCATCCTTAATTGAAGTCGAATGCGTGGCGCGTTTCAAAGAAGACCGAAACAATGCCGAGAACCTTGCCATTCTTATCCCTCGTATAATTTTGCAAGGTTCA